AGTATATTTGAAGTTTGTGCTGATGATGTCGTTCAGAAGAACGATGAAAGCTCCACGACCAAACCATCCAGCTCAGAGAACAAAACTCCACCAAAATCATCCACCTGAGTTACAAATCTTCTCCACCATCTCGAAATTTTACTCAGAGAAATTAAAATTTTAAATCATGTAAACAATAGAGCACATGGCTCAAAATCGTTTACAATGGTGCAGATATATCCGCTCTCTGTGTTCTGCCAAATTCTAATCATCCGAATTCTTCATGTCCCCTACTTTTTTCTCATTCCAACCTTATTTCACTGGATTATACTCTTTTGAATAACATCATCAAACCCTAATCTTTCCGATTACTGCTTATACTCTTACCACCTCTACCACTATGGGATTTGAATGGACAACTGCATCTCTGCGCTAATGTGGTATGGCAACTCGAACTGATGTACGTACGTAAGAAGTTTCACTTTGTTACTGACTGACTGAGAGCACATGATATACACCGATATTATTCTGTATCATCAGGAGTAGAGGAAGAATAACATAGAAGAACTGGAAATTGAATGATAGATATTGATTCATGGGATAATAATTATTATTTCATTAATATAAATTGAATAGAACCTTTTGTTTACTACATATAACTAGATCTATATTTTTTTGTTCAGTTTATGAAAAAGAGGAAATCGTTTTGCTTTCTTCTTTTTAATTTATTTACTTTTATATACTATTGTCATTGATAAATGAATTGGAGGAAATTACCATTTTCTCATTATAACACCTAATACAATGTCACTGGACTAGTGTTCACAATTGTCTTGTAAGCTTTTGTTTTGATTACTTTCGAAGATGCATTCTGTACTCTCAGTTGTTTGTTTCTTTGTTTATTTGTTCATATGCCCTTCCATTTTCCAGTTTCTTTTTAATGTTTTTTATTATGAATGTATCACTTAAATCCTTTCCATATTATTTATAGTAATGTGTATAGTTTGTAAAACCTTTCAATGTTCATAAGATTTACAGGTTTTTTGTTGATAGATGACAACGGATAAGAAGATTATTTACTTGAAAACATCTGTTTTCCGAATTATATATGCATATATCTATATGTGTATATTCACTGAAATAATGAACTGACCAGTGTTAGACCACCATTGAAAAGCTGGAAGCGTTGGATGGAAATTTCATCCTAGTATGAAACTCCACAGCAGTGCGCATCCGTAACCCTACACGCGGAAATCAAACACAGTACCTTCGATCGTGCGCGAAAATACTTAACCTCTAGATCACTGAATCGGCTTCCATCGGGGTTAGTGTTTATCTTTAATCAATCTACGATAGTGCACAACCATTTTCCATTCTCTACAATGAGAAGTTGCCATACACCCAACACGGTTGAACTTCACTGGTCACGGCTTCTCACTGTAACTTCGAGAATTATCTCTGGAAGTTAGTCATTAGTGAGCACAAGATTATTATCAGTAAGAGGTTGTAGAAATTGTTGAGTTTAACCTGCGTGCATAGTCGCGGATGCGAGGAATCCCATACAATGGCGAAACAGCCATCCAATCCTTCGGGTTTTCCATGATCTTCTAACATTGGCCGGTCAATGATTTCAGTAAAATTCAAAAATCTTCACAACTCTATATCAATATACATATAATTTTTGCTAAAAATATTTCCACTTAACGCTTGACTACACAATGCATATGTCTTTATGTTTATAATTCTTTTCCCATTCTACTTTTCAACAACAACAAAAAATCCCCAGAAGTATTTATACTAGTTAGAATTATTTTTCGGTTTATTAATGAAGCAGATAAAACATTAAACTAACTGACAAACAAACAAACAAACAGTTGCCTGTACATCAATTTAGATAAAGTTTAAACAGGAAACTTAAATAAATAAAAAGAGAGATACATTGGAATATGGACACTAATAACCAGTTAAAGTGTTGTCTGTTAAATATTCCATGTCATGTTATAAACCATTATTTTTGTTTTACTGAACTAATTATTCTAGTAAACAGTTGATTATAAGAATATAACATCTAAAAAATGCAGGGAAATGAAAAGATTGTTCCTATTATGGACTGATTCTGGTTAAGTAATCATTGAAATCAATGGTGACATTCATCAGTAGTATACATCCAAGACCTTATTGTGAACAATGGGGTTTAATCATGTTGAACATAAATACAAATTTCACTAAAAGCCATGGATAATATTTCCGTAATATTTAGCGAAGTTAGATATATAAACTATTGATTTCCACCAACTCGTTAATCTAAATGTTAAGTGTATGGTGATAGTCTTGGAGGTTGGAGACTCAACCTTTAGTGAGATGGTAGATGAGTATCACTAAGGAGTTATGTATTGGAACGAAATAGCTGTTCAATACTTTTTGAACTTGAAGTGTTGTCTAATCGAATTCTGAGCATATGATAAATAGTCGTCAATGTCAAGTTTCTTTAGTCCTTTCTTACTGATCGAATTAGATTGATCAAGCTGAAATGTGGAAACTAATCCAGCTCATTGATAACGTTTATAACTGTGAATCTATGTGATGCACAGTTTGAATTACAAAATGAATGTCAACCCTCTCAACACCCCAGGTTATATTCTATCATTAAGTGTCAACTGATACATAATCTATGTTTAAGCTTTTAAGCTGACTACATTCGACGCTCAAACAACTATTCACTATTATGAACTAGAGCAAAACAGAGATGTCACTACCTCCTCCTAGTTTTCATCAGTTCTCGATCTAATAACTGTCAACAATGGGAAGAAACAGCCGTCCACTGCTTCCAGGTTTTCCATGATGGCCTAAGTTCAACTCTCAGAGACCTTATTTATTATTACTTGACAACAAATAACTTCATTTCACACTCATATATATATTGATATATATATTAATAATTAGAGATTCAGTCACGAACCTAATGGGTCAGTATTAGTTCGGGTCCTGAAATTGAGTCACATGCGTTCGCAATCTATATGGAGTATCAGTGGTGTCAAGGTTATAGATACGCTTTTATTAGTGAACATCATCTATCAAGAAACATTGATTGTCTAGGATATCCTATCTACTAACTTCAATGTATGAATATATTGGAAGATTCATATGTAAATGGAAGTTTAAATCTATAATACTGATTTAATTGTTTACATTTCTCATATTTTGGAATATGAGCATACATGCATAATAGCCAATCATAGTGTAAATAGACTGTTAATAGCTAACAATGTGTTAATACTTCATAACACACAATACAGAATGATATTGACAAGATGTTGGAATGACATTATACTTTGTTATCAGTATCAAATAGCTGATAAATCTAAAGTTTTTTTTAAACGAATTAACGTCACGTTTCTGTGTTTGCTTATCTACATATATCGTTTTGTACTGGTTAGCTTTAGTAACCTGTGAAAATGTCTAAAACAGTAAAAGAGGGAATTGTGTAACCATATTCTATGTCAAATTCTAGATTTAAATAATTCAAGTAGATTCATAGAATATTCAAGATATATGTGAGTGTGTATATTCTTAATTTATTTGGAGATCATTCTGAAATGTTTGAAAGACTGTAGTCTGACTTATTACTATATAGAAATCAATATTATGTTGATATTGTACTAAGTATTGATTGAATTCTATCAAATAAGTTGTAACATGATTTCTGGTCAAGGTGAATCAACATGACATATCTCAAGCTTTGACGTTTCGTATTTAGAGTCAAGTAATACAAAACTTTAAACACAAGTGTCTGATTATCAGTACCAGTAAGCAATGCATATTTACAATCTTCAGAGAACACATTCTTATGGTGTAGTCTGAATCCTGGAGTTAGACTGTGAAACTGAGTGACACTAGCTTGAATCTCACAATGAGTTTCAGCTTGTTCAAGATGATAAGTATACCTTGCTGTCGATTACTAACTAGTGAGAAACCTAAGTCAAGTAGGATGTCCTTCCTACTAATTTTAGCCATCTAGGAAGCCTGACATCATAGTTAGAATCAAAATATGACAAATATGGTATCACTTACCATTTAGTAATCAATCAAAGTACATATTTCAGTCCTATAAAAGATTTGTCTCACTTTCAATAACTTAGAGATATTAGTTATAACAATTAATGACCATGTTTGGATCCAGTACAAGGGCACCCATCCTCTTAAGATGGCCAATACCTCTTGATGATAAAATGCAACTTATAGAAAATCTACATTCATGACTTCCTACCGACTCTTCCTAATCACTAAACATAGACTCTAACTGCATGCAATTTTAGCAAAGTAATAAAAAAATTTCTGTTTTTGAAAATAGATCGAAATAGGTCGTTCCATTGCAATTCATAATCAGCATTATATCTATCCACGTGATAAGATTTCCAGCTTAGATAAATGCTACTGATGATTATACCTTTACAGACCAGGATGATGTGATTGCCAATGGGACCATTAGTGCTTAATTCAAGTGGAATTATACTTTCCAAAGTTCATCGGTAGACAATTAAGCTGTCCGTTCTGATGATCTTTTTTGTAGTTTTATACAAGAGACTAGTTTCATTTGGACCATAAGTGGAAACTAAGAAGCTCTGGGTGACTATTTCGTCATAGTTTAGGTCTCCTCAGCAATTCATATTCATGATTCAATAGTGGGTGACCACAATCGAATCTCACTAAAATTAGAAATTTAGGCTATTTAATGTCACCTCAGCAGTCAGTAGATTAAACTTCCATCACAAGACCCAGAGAATCCAACTGTGGAACCCAGTGGGGTTGTGAATGCTTACTTTCAAAGAGTCGCATGCTAGGACGAAATAGTCATCTAGTGCTTTATCGTCATCAAAGGTTGTTTAATTATAATTATTCCATGATATAACATTTCATACTTTAAAAACCCATACAACTCTTCTTTACTGAAACATCTGTCAATCATTGATTCACTATAATATATATTAATAATCAGTATAAATAAAATCTATTCTACTCACTTTGATAATTTCAACCATTTCATGCTTTTCAATAGTTCCATTACCATTAATATCATACATTTGAAATGCCCATTCAAGTTTCTCTTCTGGTTTACCACCTGATGTAATATTAATTGCTAATAGAAATTCTTTAAAATCAATTTTTCCAGAATTATCTTTATCGAATGTTCGAAATACATGTGTACAAAATTCTTCAGCATCACCATCAGGGAAAAATCCAGAATACACTTCAATAAATTTCTTTTTACTTAATTGACCAGAAGGACAATCTCTCTACAAATAATAATAATAATAGTAATATAAGTATGTGCTATTTATATCGACATAAGTAGTATATAACGTTAGTTAGGAATAGAATGTCTAGCAGCAGAAGTTTGAAAAGATCGTGAAGAGAAGAATGGGAACAGAAAGCAATTGGTATGGAAATGTAGGAGCAATGAAGTATGAAACAATTAATGAACATTTTGCAAATGAAGTATTGGTGTATAAGTTTTCTATTTTATGAAGTAACTCTGTAATTTTATACTAAATATAATCTGTTGTCCTCATCTGTGCTCATCTGCACGTCAGTCAGTCAGTAACAACGTAGAACTTCGTACGTATGTACATCATACCACATTAGCTCGGAGATGCAGTTGTCGATTCAAATCCCATATTGTTAGAGGTAGTAAAATTATAAGTGAATGGTTTAATTATATCATTTATTATGAACTCTAATTAACTTTGAACGGTTTCATTTTTCAATCATTATCAAACTAAAATAATCGTAACATCTGATGTATAATATAATTTTGAGCAATGCTTGTGTAAGTATTGAGTTCCGCATTGACTATGACTAATTAATAGAATAATAAGTAAACTTCTTCTTTATCAGCATCTATTTTACGAATCATAAATTATGTACAATATAAATAGAATATAACAATTTAAAAATGATATATTGTGGCGTGTACTACTGATGTTAATAAATATAAGTAGTATGTAGCATCAATAGAAAGCGAAATACCTGGCAGCAGAAGGTTAAGAAGATTGAAGACAAGAGAAGAAGAAGAATATAGAGTAATTGATGTGGAAAAGAAGAATTAGTCAAATCTGAAACGATTGATCGACATTTACAAAAGGAATAGTCAAGTTTGAGACAACTGTTTAACATTTTGCAAATTAAGTTTTTGCTGTATGGATCCCAGATTTTATTAAAGCGTTTTGTAAGTTTGTATTGAACCACATTCTGTTGTCCTCACTTGTATTCACGTTCACTTTAATATCCTTGACCACCTTAGACAACATGATACTAGATCAATTTCAAATTTTATATTACAGTAGAATTAAACTAAACACTATTCACATTAAGTTGACTGATTCTAATTCCTTTTTTTACATAATTTAATAGTTGAATTCATAAGTCAATTAAAGTTAGACCCCATGAAAATCTTGGAAGTTCTGAATGGCCGTTTCGTCCTATTGTAGGACTCCTCAGCTGTACGCATCCATTCATCGGTGTTAATGGCTAACTTCAACTGATCCACGAAATCGCGTCACCGCACATCATTGATCTAGTCTTAATTGACTGATAATCTCAACTATTAAATTACTATAATATCGACAAAAACCCCTTTCTGATTAAAACCATAATAGATAAACAAACGATATATATATATTTGTAGTAAAACATATTAGTTAATGTGGATTCGAATCATACAACCGGGTACAATTTCGTCTAAGATTATATAGATACTATGTCAGTAAGGGTTGATTAACATCAAAACCTAATTTCTGGATCTTTTAAAAACTTAACTATCAACCATATTCATCTAATATAAGTAACCTTTAAGTTTATGGTACTCAGGTTATAACAAAACAAAGTTATAGTTAAGCTAATTAAATTGTTCCCTATTAATGATAATCCCAGTATTCCTATTGTAAATAAACTTTCACTTTGAGAAAAATAATGAATCAAATTATTTTGATTATAAAAAACGGATTATTCCTTGTTGTTACTTCACTTAGCCAAGTGAAGATTTAATTTATTTAATAGTTGAATCATGAATCAATTGAAGCTAAAACACCATGGAAAGCGTGGAAGCACTGGGCGACCGTCTCGTCAGTAGTGCGTAGCCACGATCTCCTCCCACGAGATTGGGACCCAGGATCTACCAGTCTCGTGAGCGAACGCTTAACCTCTAGACCAATGAGCCGCCGTTATGCAACGGTGTTAATGTTTAACTTCAACTAATCGACCAAATTGAGCGATAAGTCCACCAATGTCTTCAGGGAAAAATCAATTTTTAAACATTTTGAATTGTTGTGAAATGATCAATATTCAATTATTTGAACTACTACTGTTAGTAAACTGTTTAATCTTAATACACATAAGGTTGAAATTATTTTCCGTTTGATTATAGGTTAAACATTCAAAGTTATTTTGAAATTTATCAGAAAAATTTCCAAGATTCTTTGTTTGAATATACCAGGTATAAATGATTTGAGTTATGAGCAAAAATGGATAGTGGTCAGCAGTGGAATCTAGGACGTGCATTCATCCTATTTGGAACTGGATATACTTGCATCCCAGAATCGATGTTCATTCTGGGACTCAAACTCACTACCGTTCGTTCCAAACGCCATTATATTATTCACTTAGCTACTGTTATCCACAATCCATCTTCGCTTATAATGCTTGTAAATTAAAGCAATATCGAGGCAATCCGCACAGGATGCACATATGCCAATAAGAGACTGATCAATTGTAATCCTACACATCAACAGGAAGATTCAATTAAACTATCTCAAGTGAATTTTATTTTAGCTGTATTGTATATTAAACTTAACGAAGTTGAACTTAGCTTGCATAAAGAATTCAAATGTACACAAATTGATATCCATTTATGATGAAAAATGACTAAGAAACTATTCTCTTTTTCAGATGTATTTAACTCTTTTTAGTAATCACTTATACAAACAAATGCTTTAACTTCAGGCATAATAAACATTGAAAGCAGATAACCAAATTTATCTATTTACTTAGCATAACTAAAACACGACAAATGATTAAGGTAAATATATAATCAGAATATTTTGGTAGAGACCTAACAATGATGGATGGCAGTGAAATTCAAGACGTTCATTTCGTCCTATTTTGGACTTGTGAGCTGGATATACCTACATCTCAGAGTTGATGTCTACTTTCGGACTCAAATCCAGTACCATTCACTTCAAACGCCAGCTCGTTATCTACTTAGATACTGAGTTCAGATAACCATTGGCTTGTGCAATCGGGTGAATTTTAATTCACTTTTATATTGTTTATTTGAATCTTCCGATTGGTATTTAGGACTGTAATTGATCAGTCTTTTATTGGCATATGTACATCCTGTGTAGATTGCCTCAGTATTACCTAAGAGGATAATCCAGGTAATGTAAGCAGATAAGTATGAATTTCCAGTTGATAAAAAGACAGTAGCACTGTGTTACATGTATATATAACCGATTAGTCCTAAATAAGACAAAATACTCATTTTGAAAATTTACTTCTAACCTCTGTTTATTTAATTCATTACTAGTTAATTTAATTAACAAATAGGGGTAACGCCTGGGGATATTTCGTAAAAATATTTATTAGCAAAACATCGACAATAATCACATGAATAATCTGAAGATACTTTACATGAAAGACAGATTTTTAGCTAGACAGTTATTAAGGTACTAGACAGCTATTTCGTCCCAAAGTTAACTTCCTGATAGTTTTCATATCATTTAGTTGGGACCTTGTAGTTCTGATATTCGATTTCGGTCAATTCTCATTATATCCAATCCATAATTCACCATCACAGTTAATACCTATCTTACACCCGATACAGTTGAGCTCTGTGGATCACAATTAATAGAAAACTTTGAACATTGGTTACATGCTAGTTCCTATTCATCAAAAAAGCAAACTTCAAATAATAATACAACGAAAGATCCTTATCTTATTTCAGAGCGCATCACCAAATTTACCAGTCATGAAACCTGGGTTCAGAGTTCCGTGCTGACTACTTCCAATCACTTAACATCTCAATACATGTGACGTCAAGTTAAATAGACTAGTGATCAGAAGTATTGAACAAGCACAGAACTGGTCACCACTCATTAACCAGCCAACATAAACGTCACGAGTTCACAAGCAAACTCACAGCTATCACCACAATTACGGATGATATGTCAATCGATTATCAAGTTGATGATAATCGGAGCATAAAAGGGGAAACTCATGTAAAAAAAGCGTATATCTTAACCACCTAAAAACATTTGATATATTACAAAATTAATAAAACATCAGGAACTCTTTACACCATAGAAAAGGCCAATTTTCATCACTTGACATATCCTACCATCAGTATGATTTTATAAGATTATGGAGAACGTCTAATGAACTACTTCAAAGGAGTATTTGAATCAGAAATTTATACACAACTGGGGATTTAGCATTTTACGGAGTTAAATACGATTTATATGTTAAAAAAAACGTGTCCAATTCCTTACTATGGTTTTAGTATTCTCTTTTAACTTTAACAGTTTTTTTCACTTGATATTGTTTTACTTGAATCTTCCCATTGATGTTTGATTGAAGTTTAATTCACTTGATATTGTTTTACTTGAATCTTCAAGTGAATTAAACTTCAACCCATTGCACAAGCAAGTGGCTATCAAAGAGTTAAGTTCCAGCCCAAGAACGTCCCTTTTTAACAGTTTTTATTACCTTTTATTTCCCTGTTTTGATTGATTTTATTGATTTTTATTACCTTTGTTTTATTACGCAACCTATATTTGATACTTAGAACATCTATGATAAATTCGTTAGATTTATAGGTCATTTCATCACAGATTAATCTGAGTTTAGACAAAACTGAAGACAAAGGAATACTAGATAGCCTTTTTTCTTAACATAGGAAGGATGCTTCAACACTACATACTTACTATCCTACCAAGGATTGAACCCAAGTTTTAAACATCTTATGATGAGAATTCGATCATTAGAATAATTGGTTAGTGATCACACACTTATACCTCAAATTCTAATC